GGGAGAAGGGGCGCGGGGGGCTCAGCGGCCGGCCTGCCGTCCTTGGGTCTTTCCTTCAGGAAAGCCTCGTGGTCTTAAACCGCAAGGCAGGAAGACGGAGGAACGGTTTGCAGAATTCAGGAAAACTTGGCGAACCGGAGCTGCGGGCACTCAGCCGGGCCCGGCCCCGGGCTCTGAAGCGGCCGAGCGCAGAGACGGCGGCCCGCGGACCCCTCCGGCTGCGGGAGGCAGAGCCGGCTGCGCCCCGAAACTGCGCTCGGAGCTCCCTCCGCTATCAAACCCGCGACAGCAGCCACCGCCACCCAGAACTGCTCGCACTCCGAAAGCAAAATGAAGCATAATTGCTTTTATTTATCTATTGCTTTTAAATCATTAAAATATTTTTAGTTACATTGTATAAAACACGAGCCACTCTGCTTATTACCTGCCGTATCTGTTGATCTGCTCCTTGTGCATTCGGCACAACTATATTAACAATCAAGAAAAGACACATCTTATATATTGTATCTGTCAAGATATGTTACAATTTCCATTAACACACACACAAAAAAAACATTCTTGTTGAAGACGCTGTGAAGCCTCTTTCATGAGCACTTTATTAATAATCATAGTTGTCAAAAAGAATTAGATATACATACATTGCAGATGCAAAGGCAATATTAGATACACAGAATAAAATATACAGTGGGATTGAGGCATAACTATTTTTCTTTTTTAAAATAAATTTTTACCCAGGTGAAAAAAACTGAGCTATTAAGCTTACTTAAAAGATGGCTTTGTTGGTTTAATTATACTGTAGTTATTTTATAAATATGTTTCAAAGGAAGCTTGCCATATTGCATGTCAATGAGGACTGTAAAGAAAAGCTCACAAAAGCTAATGCATACCAAATACCAAATTTTAGTCATTAGCATTCTTATTTATTACAAACTAAAGAAACCTATTAGCAGACAAGAATTTCTATTTAGCTAGCATTACAATGTTTGGCCATTAAAATAAAAAGGGCAAAGTATAAACGTATTTTTTCCCCTTGGAACTATATATTCTTTCCGCCTAGAAGCTCCTGCAGAGAATGGGGGATATTTCTGACCCGGGAAACACGGCTTTATGGTGGGAATGGGCCAGAGGGCCCAGGCCACTATTTTTAGTTGTTGAACTTAATACTATTCATTCGGAAGCAAAAACAGTGCGGGGCTGGGGCTCTGCAGCATGCTGAGCACTGCATAGTAACCAAAGTCTGTGAGGGGCCCTTTGTCTTTAATTTGTGTCATATGCATATGCAAATTATCAATTGTTTTTCCTCTGGGGGAGAAAGTGGATAGCTTTTGTTTGGATATTAAAATTTCCCTAAACGCTCCCTAGACAGGGAACTTCTCCCAATGCGGATTGCCCCAGTAGGAAATCCCACCACAACAGTAAACACGAGGGTATTAATTCTAGAAACACGCACGTAGGGATTTGTGTCATTTAGAAAACATTTTCCTTTGAGCAAAAGTGGCAATTCTGCTGTCCTACCAGAAGTTCATGAATATAAAAATATATTTTTCTGAATGCCTGTTTGAGAGGGAATAAACTTTTCAGCCATTCTTACATTTAGAAACTTGAAAGGTCTTTTTCTTCTTAAAATCGAGGGAGATTTTTTTTCCCTAATTGGGTAAGGAAACAAGTAAATATTATAGGCACTGAAGTGAAACATTTGGAATGATTAAGGAAGAGTTATTTTGAATTATGGTAGGTGAGAATTTTTTTAAAGTGCCCACCAGGAAAAAAATAATAGTCACACGAACTTGTTAAACTCCCGGGCATTTACCAAGTGACTCAAGTGCAGGTTCTTCAGGCCTGGCTCTCAACCCAGACACGGCGCATTCGGCCCGCTTGGGGGACATTTTTGCATTACAAAGATAGAGCATTTCTAAGAAAGGTGCTTCTTTGAAAGGCCTATATAAAAACAACAGGTATTAGAAGGAAGGGGGGGATTCCTGATTTAAAAAAGAAAATCTCTGTCAAAAGTCATGAACAGATTTTGCATACCCCATGCAAAATATTCGTTTTCAATAGTAAAAGTTGCTTTGTCGTGTTGAGGAGGGGGGCAGGGGGACTAGGTATTCTCTCCGCTGTGACTACTTGTGCAGAGCTCAGGGAGGGAAAATGTAATGATTCCTACACTGCAAACTTTTCCTCAGGGAAACAACGAAAGTCCGTGTATTAAGAAAGAAGCTCGGCTGCCTCAGTGCTGGCAGTTCTAGAAAAAAAAAAAAAAAGTGAACTCTATTTTTATCTAATTATATCTGGACGAGATGTCAACCCCCAAGTTTCTAAAGCTTATTTGATACAGAGGTGGGGAAAATTGCTTTAAAACCTAAGTGTATATATTTTTAAAAAGGTGACACTTGCCAGTAAAGGCCAAACCTATACAATTATTTGGATAATTCAGCTCTTCTTACCCCAAATTAACCAGTCTGATCTTCCCCCCACTTCTCAGAGTGCCGATATTGTCTTGAGAGGCCACCCACTTGCCTCTCCCTCATCTGCATCTTTTCCCTACACTGAATGCTCAATAATACCAACAGTGAAGGAGGTGAAGGCTGTTCCCCGTATATTGAAACCAAGGTGGCTTAAATCTCAATGCGAGTGGAAGAACACCCTGTTTCAGTTGCCTTGAATCCAGTTTCAAAGAGTGTATAAGGGGAGAGACTGTCTTGGTGAGGAAAAAACAAGTAAGAAGGAGACCCTTTCTGGGGGAGCTGATCCTTGTGAGCGTGAGGAACATGCACAGGTCAGGACACCACAG